CATCTATCGTTTACTTGGCATAACCTAAAAATTGCGAGATTAACCCTGCGTTTAGTATTTTAATTCAATTGGTATAATTGCCATATCTACATCCAGTAAACGCATCGTACGTACGATATATCACTGTTAAGTTATGTCAGCGATTGATTGGTTCAATCGAACGAGTCACATTACACTACAAAATTATTTTTAGTCAAGGCGGTGCAGTGTGTCTAACGGTGATTATGGAGTGATAATACAATTTAGCAATAATAGAAATAAGAATAATGTAGCATCAGGTGGGTTAGGAATATCCGACCCATTGAATCGTATCATATTGTGTCATGATTCAAAAATGTCAAATTCTAGATTTAGACAGCGGTTAATTTATCCCCGATGAGCACATGTTGTGAACAATTTAACGAGTACAATCACAGATTTAGTTTATCTATTAATGCATCTGCTATGCACCATATTTAGTATTATATTTTAGTATACAACAATTCCCATCCATAGAGACATCTCAATTTCACAGCCATGTTCGGCATAACCCGTTGAAAGCTAATTCATTCAACTCTATCAACAAGATAACAATGAACATTTATTTACGATCAACCGTTTTCGCTATGTTGTCGGATAAATCACATTCCGTGTTATCTGACGAAATATACCACTTAAAGTTATTTCTAGTAAACACGAGAATTAATATGCGTATAGTCCGGCCAAAACCGCCCAATTTACATATGTGGTTGCATATACAGCCGGTAATGTATATTTTTTGAATGTCTTATTACTGATTATTCTCCAATAAAGAAACGATAATGTTGTCAATACGTCGTTTTACTATTTTAATACTATAATTAATAAAAATGCTAATATTTCAAACCCATGTTAATCCGTCAATTCCTTCTTTATTCTTCATATTCAGATGTAACATTTTGTTATTGCCATTTATTCCAATGACTACGTAAGACGAGGTGAAAGAACGTCAACAACTTGTAAAACTAGAAAGCGTCCAAGATGATAGGCAACCCAATTCTTGTTTGCTGACAACTTTTAATAGTTAAATTTTTAAGTATTTTACTAAGCTAAGACAGGCATGTGCTCGTTGTTACTATCATTCAAATAATCCGTCTAGTATTACTGTCGGCCGACCAAGTCTTTTTTGTCTAGTCCATAGCTGTATAACAAAACTTGTAATTTTCTAAAGCTTTAACAGTCTTGATCTTATGCTGCTGAGTTGATAAGACAATCTTATTGACGTTTTTTTAGTCAACTGGTCGGTAGAATTATAATGTTATATTGTACCAAGACATCTACCTTAGGCAAAAACGATAACTAATTGACAAGCATTTCTGGATGTAATGTTAAAAAATGTAAACTATATGACACGGTTATTTAACAGTTTTCTCTTCTATACTGTAGTAGAAAGTTTGCGCAGAATATATTGTAGACGACGTGTTATGCTCTTGATACAATAACTGGTTTGGTAGACCTTAATGATAGACAAAGCCCGTGTTAATATTGGACTGCTAACTACACTTTACGTACGGAAATTTGACATATTAATATCATATTTGATTTTTCTTGTTTTATTATACGTTTGCCGTTATTTTACTGTTCCTGTCCCATAATTCTATTTTATAAGTTATAATAATAATCGACCCTAATTAGCAATGTGGGGAGATGGCCGAGCGGTCTAAGGCGCCACGTTAAGGCCGTGGTCTCTTCGGAGGCGTGGGTTCGAATCCCACTCTCCTCAAATATTTTCGCCCCCTTCCTTTTTTTGGATTGCCATATTTGGTGTTCATTAACATAGGTCGCCAGAATAATATTTTTTTGCTGTACTTTGAACATGATACTAGGCTACTGTATGTTTAGACATAATTATTATTATAATTGTGTCGATGGCTTGCAGATAGATGTCTGCATTTTCTATCCTCCTGCGTTAAAGGATACTAACGTATTTGGAGCTACAATACACGTATTGCGAGAAAGATTGCAAAGTTTATTTGATGACCGACTTTTTTCTAAGATTAAAGCAATATTGTAATCGATTTTATTTTAATATCAATGTGTAGCCTTTTAAACTGAATTGAAATCTCATAACTGTTTCTCGGTTTGGGTAAATCTTCAGTAGGTAAAGGCTTACTAGAATATTTGCTTTTCCTTCTCGAGTCGCGATAAAGGCATCGCATGATTCTTATGATAAATAGTATTCCACACGTTATTATCAGAATCATATTCTAATGCTGTTGTAGATTTCTCCAACCACTGGACGCTTGTCAAGATCAGCATCACAACACATCTCGGCAATTTTCTTTATATGCCTTCGGTGCTGAATCAGGCATCAATCCGCTATAATATCACATAGTAAATCTCGAATTGTCTGTCTCTAAAAGGTGGTTCACTAGTGGCCATCAAGTACATGATAATATCAAAAGAATATACGTCCGATTCTCGCGTAAATTTGCTAGCATGGACTTCTGGTGCGATAAAAGGTAAAACGCCTCGAACTGTCTTTTGATTTCTCTGATCTAGAGAGACCAAGATCGCTGTTTTGATCAAAAAGACTACCGCTGTTAGCATATTGCATGACAATCATATGCTCTTTTGTTTCTGGTTCTTGCGTGACTCCATAAATATCAAGGAAACCATAGTGTGCACATTTGGCATGATTCCTGAGCTAGTAATAAAGATACCCCCACATTAGGTTGAAGTTGACATCAATTAATTAATAATATCAAAGATTGCGCACCTCGGAAATAAATAATTCCGAAGTAAAATCAAAGTTCTTAAAACGTTTAAGAACAACGAGTTCTGACATACACTCTGCTGAACGGTTTTTATATTTGGCGGTATAGACTGCTCCATAGCCACCAGTTCAATTTCCTTAATTTCACCAAAGTCGGTATACCACATATACTTTACGCGTTCATTAATTTGTATAATATGGCATAAATTTCGTGGCAGAACACCAAATAATATTCTTCAGTAGATGGTTCTTGAGTGATACTAAATAATCGAAATGTTATCTAGTGCTAATATCTCCGGATACTCTTTGTTTAGCTGTTTGATTAAAAGATACAGTCGCTACATTTAACACGTGATGCATACTTAAAATTAATAACATTATTACATTACAAACCTGATAAAAATCAAATAATTGAGCATCCTATCTGTCAACTATCTTCTTCAATATCACTTTTGTACATTCCTTTGTAATTGGTTCTAACCAATCTGCTATATGTGTGCATCCACGGCGGAATAATGTCATCTCTTGTACCCCTTGTCAATAGAGAATACTCTACCTATTGTATATACGCATCTTAATTAAACGTTGTATAACGAATTCAAAGACTTATTGCCTGTAGTCAACTCAAAAAGTCTTGGTGCTTTACATCTGAATGTCTCCTTCTCGTCCTTTTTTAGATAATACTTTTGTTATTTGCACCGTATATAAATCCAATGGTAATCCACATCTTTGGTAAGAATATCTGGATTTTCCTCACATAGCTAGTAGAAATAATACGTTATGTTAAGTCATCGATTGATAAACATAGTATGAATCATCCATCTCATTTGTTACTTCAAGCGGGTCTTACAAACAGCAGATAGACCCATTGTGTATCCCTTATCTCATTCCAGATAGGCTTACTATCACAATGGGATTATCCGTTTATAGTACCGGTCTTTTACAAAATCAGGCCCAAAATTGCTGAGGGTACTATGCTTTAGTCAGATAAATACGGTAGTTGCGATTCTTAGGCAGTAATATCTTCTGGACTTGTTGTATTAATATCGTATTTATGCTTGCGTGTTGGAAGTGAGTATTTTCTGGTAAACTCGCTCACCAGTGCTGGTGTACATTCCAAATAATTGCAACATAATCATCGTTTGATAAACTTTTCCGCCATCCCCTTTTGGTTTACGAATAGCATAATGGACAGTATCAGTTTGACTTGACTTTATCTCGGTGATTTCCGAGTAAGGAACCCATTTAAGTTTATAACCGTGTTCTTGAATCAGGCTGTCAATTGTCGTATAAACCCGAAACTAACGACATCGTTCTGATACACCTCGGGAGAACATTTCTAGATACTTTTGTAATCGTTGTTATACTAAGTGATATTAAATGTGCAGGAAACAGTTTCCTTTATTAACAATAGCATAAGTATAATGATAAACACAGTTCACTGTCACGGTCTTCTGCCATTGAGCAATTAGAACTATCTAAGTGTTTTACAAAGGTCTATAGTATCGGTGGCTATAAAAAAGCTTGCAGAGCATTTGGTTGTCTTGTCTGTCTTTTATTAAAAAAAAAAAATACTGTACATTATACAAACGTTCTTTGGCACATACTAAATTTTCTCAACCAAATACATCTTGCATTGTAATAATATTAATAATATATTATGAAACGGTAGATCTGATTGTTAAAGTCAGCATAATCTATAGGTCTTCTTTCCTGAAGAGACATCCCAGCTTAAAGGTTCAGTATTTTTGGTTCTGTAAGTACTGATAGTCATGAGCCCATCATTGATAGTCCCAATTATTTCGACAAATAGTGGCTTACACTCGACAGAGACAATAATTTCTAACTGAAATACAGTAAGTCTATTGCTCTTTCTTTGAAATAGTAGAAGGTATTATTGTACATTTGTCAGTCTTTTCATCTCATTTTGATTACATTGTTTGTCATTAAATAAAACATTAAGCGTTAAATCAAGAATTGGCTGAATTAGAATGTGCATGTAAAAATAATATGAATGTCGTGACCCATTAAATATTGAGGGCCAATGCAGTAGTGCCGCTTTATTCTGAGATAAGAAAATAAAAGTGAATTACCCATTTTATGCTGTTGAAAACGATTACACCTACGATATTTCTTGCAAGTTTTTCGTGTCGCGTTCTGCTTGTGTCACCTCCGTGATCCCTACATAGCCAACCAACTAACTCTTGATTCGCTACCATCAAAAATTTGTTGGAAATCAGATCAGATTATTATTATATCTATCGCTATGTGTAAGTTTCTTCTAATGCAGAGAGCATTGCTAATTATGCTCGAAAGTAACTTGTTAACAAAATCTCTGTCAAAGCTTCAAGAAATAAAAAGAACACACTCTTTGATCAACTGGAGGAGCTGTTGACTCCTGCTCCAGTAGGTACGTGTGATCCTCACATTCGGTACTTTCTCGCACCTTTCTCTCCCCTAACAATTCTTTTCACAAGACATTGACCCGGAGACCTTTGGTGAAACATTTCGTACAAATGCGAATGAAAACGAAGCGAGCGATGAAGACGAGAACAAAGGGCGAGAACATTATGTTAACGTCGGGTATGTAACTAGACGTTTGTGTATTCGGTGCATTATGTTGGGCAAAAAATTTGACTATTTTTGTACCCAGAAAGAGTGCTATTCGGAAGAACCTTCAATTAGAGACAGATGATTCCAGATATTTTGGCAAGAAGTCTAGCCGAAAGGCTATCTTTAGGGAAGAAGAAGACGAAGAGGATGAAGAGGATGAAGGGGAAGAAGAGGATGAGGAAGAAGAAGAAGAACAGGAAGATCAAGTTAGCGACGAAGAGGCGACTGATGATGAAGAGATAGATTCTGACGAAGTTATTGAAAAAGATGATAATTTTCGTGATGTCAGTATCTTAATCGAATTATCCATATTTAACATGTTATAACGTCAATTAGATGATAATTAATTTTTATTTATTGTTTAGGCAGATAAGTCGTCCTATGTCGATGCAGCCGCTATAAGGGAAGAATTGAGAAAAATAGAAGACGATGAGAGAAACATTTTAAAGAAAATATCACAAAGTGCTAAAGCTGACATTACAAAAGGCCAGCATGTCAAAGCGCAACTTGCAAGTATTAATTATCTAACCAACAAAGGGAAACTTTGATCACAACCGTATCAGCTTGTTCCAATGACAATAACATTGATATTTATGTAGGATCTTTGGGATTCATTCTTAGACACGCGAATTCGGTTACAAAAGGCTTTAACTATAACAAATACATTTCCGCAGGTATGTAATCAACGCAATGCTTTGTTTGTCAGAGTCAACAAACATAATCCAACTCATGCTTTGTTCTAAAAGCACGATGTTTATCCGCAATTTCTAAATGAAGAAACAAACAACGAAATTAAAGAAACGCAAACAGAACTACGCGCATTAATGGATATGCTGGTCGACTTACAAAAGGTGCTTTATTAATGAGTGGATTTCAAGCACACAAGCAACAACAACAACGATGACTATCGCGTTTGGTACTCTAACACGCTAACCCGTAACTCTTTTAGGACATATACAAAAAGAATGGGATTGTTGAAATTTCCAAGGATACTGCTACAAGTCGCAAACGACAACACGAGGACGATAATTATTTAGATTATCTTTGGGGAGACATGCAAGAGCTGTACGACAAATTCAATCCCTTTCGACAGGAAACAATAGATAAATGGAATAATAAAGTACAGATAGCTGCGGGGTTGCCGCTAAACAAGAAATTCAAAGCCATCAATCAAAGTGTCAATACGCAGATTGAACAAATACTAAATGATAAAGAACGGTTAGTCAAGAGAACGCAGTTAAAAAGGAATGATGGGAAGATACTGGGGAAGGTAAGTTCCACTATCCGACATCGGCTTTAAAGATATAGTTTCTATTTATATATGCAATTTTCGTTTAGGAGAAACAGAATGAACGGGAAGATGAGACGATAGTAAAGGGAGACAATTTACCAAACTATGATAAGGAAATTTTCGATGATACAGATTTTTATCAGCAGTTACTTAGAGAATTAATAGATAGTAGAATGGTAGATACAGGTAAACTGATTTTGCAGTCTATTTGAATAAGCATCCACTGATCAATTCACTATATTAACTGAAATTTTGCCTCGTTCGTTGATTCTGTTTTCAATTGCTCTACCACCTCCCAGACGACCAGTCATCCCTAGGGCTACGCTGGGCGGCCTTAAAACAGACAAAGCAGAAGAAAAAGCAAGTTGATACCAAAGCCTCAAAAGGCCGCAGATTACGATACCATGTTCATGAAAAATTACAAAACTTTATGGTTCCCATACCTGCAGGCAGTTGGCACGAGGAGATGATTGACGAGTTGTATTCTTCATTATTGGGGAAGAAGTATAATGTCGCTTTGGATGAAGATGAGGACAAGAATGGTAGAATAGACGAAGAACAAGGGAAAGGGAAGACGTATAAAGGAGAAGGAATTGTGGAAGGTGTTAGCGGGTTGAAAATATTTGGGTAAAGAACTATTTCGTAATATTGGTTTATCATAGACGGAAATATTTATGTTCTTCTTAAGATATGCTCAATGGTAATGAAATTTAAAGGTCATACAGCTTTATAATTTTCAGCTAATTGATAATGTAATAATGGTGCAGACATTTAACGGAATATCGGAATAATAGCTATTTGACCTTGGTCTTACATGTGACATATAACTCTTTTGACACTTGTGTACTTCAGTCAAATAACTACTGTGATTCTACCTCTTGCAAAAAGCCTTGGTTAGATCTAGCAGTTTCAACGGGGTGTCTATTGATGGACACGCAGAACCAAACGTTGTTTCTTCCATATTGAAGAGAAGACGCTATACGGACAGATTTTTTATTAGATTTTTCTAACTCCCGAACAAGTAGAAATACATGTGATACTAACTTCGTTGTACATCAAAAGTTCAAAGACTCGGTGCGCTATCTGTTTACAAAGATGTTAAACCGTTAGAAAATGGCCTTTCGCAAAGGAAGGATAGTATATGATCACAGAAAAATCGGGAAAAAAGCTATTACGAATTAATGAAGTGGTTATAGAGTGCTTCTGTTTCTCAGATCAAAAAACTTACGATCTCCCGGTAGATAGCAGCGATTATGATCTATCGTAAGATACAAAGACTGTTGATTGCGTTTATGTGAGTCGACGTTTTACTGTAATTCGTTCGTTGCGTATTAAACTACATGAAGGGAAATGTTAGCTTATAGCCTAACTTTTAGGAAATAACATCATGAACACATATAAAAGAATAGACAAAATCTTCTTGATATTTAGTACAAAACAAGTGAGTGTGGTGTTTGATTTCAATAAAGCAAGGCGCACATAATTTGGAAATGTAACAATCGTGATTTTTTGCAATAAAGAATACTTCTTACTTTCCGTATTCATCGAGAAATAGACACCGTTTCAAATACGTTAACACCTGCGACTGTAATTCAAACCTGGTCTTCATAATGGGTGAATAATGTTCGGTGAGGAAACATAAGTCATACTTTAATAATAATAGCACAACAAAGGGTAGTATAATTTAGTAGAATACACGCGTTTATCAACAAAGTTCGCGTTAATATATGGAATATGTTCTATCAGGATAATATTGCCTATGATCAATTGTTTTTACACCATTTGGAAATGTTCTAAATTTCAGGTTACGTTCCATAGTATCTAACTTTTCTTCCGAATATAAACAAACCCAATAAAGATATACAAATGACTTAAAATAGGGTTAACGTTAGAACCAATTGAATACACCTTATACAAGTGAATGAATAAATAAACCATACTTACAACATTACTGATGGCAAATTCTATAACAATGTCGTCTTTAGACAAAACGTTAACCATACATGGTAAAATGTGTTCAGTATAGTAGTCGTTATATTCAATGTCCGTCTTATATTGTATTTCTTCAGTTGATGTTTTTATTGTTGTCTACAAAACCAAAATGTTTATACTCATTATACAATTAAGATTAAACAATGCTAATACATATTTCGATACTTACCATCATTGTAATTGCCGTTGACTCCCAATTTTTCAACAAAATGCTGAGTTTGTATTTATTTGGAGGTACTTGGAATATGGGTATTGTTACCTAATATACAATCGTTTATTGATTAATATTCACAACATTGTACAAAGCATTAGACTATTTATATTGTATTGATAATTAACCACTTACTTTATTGGATCCAGTAAGGTACAAATATCCCTCATATCTATAAAATAATAAACATTAGTAACAATATTTTTATAAAAAATAGTCATTACAAATTACTTACACCCCACATTCACTCTTATCTTCAATGTGACTTTCATATGCAAAATGTGCTTTCATATGACCTATAATAATAATAAATATAAAGTAATTTAGTATGCATAATATATAAATTTATGCAATCAAGTGTAACCCTTACTTTTGTGCATATAGTATACTTTTGAATAGAATGTATTTATATATGTGTAATTATACTCAGCATTGTTATACTTGTTATACCAAGTTACAGCAATGTTGTACCATCTGGTGTAATCATCTTTTCCATACTGATAGTTACACAATGATTTCCATTGATTGATATTATTTAATTTATACATTGCTTGATGAAGACAACTATCCACAAGAATCTTAAACCATTCCACATCAAAGTGCTCAAGTTTGTTTACATACTCATTAATAACATCAAATGGCTGTCTTTGCATATACACATTATTAATATGCCCAATGTCTTGTTCAGCTTTTTTCTTATTCTCCAAACCTATATGTGCCACTAAACTTAAATACCAAGCATCATCATACATCTTGTTTACTTCAATTGCTGTCTCAATATCAAACAGGGCTTTTCCAAAATTTTTCATTTCTATTTTGACCTTTGCTCTGCTACACAGTGCCACATAATTTGTGGGATCAGCCTGTAATATTTGTGTATAGATGGTCAAAGCCTTTTCCAACTTATTATTTTTATATGCACTTTTAGCTTTTTGGAACAAGTTGTTTATATATGGTGTTGTTAATGATTTCCAAATTGAATTCCATGTGGA